ATGGTATGAGAAAAAATAAATAAAGTCAACCCAAAAAGAAAAAGTCAAAAATGTCAAGAAATGAGCAAATGGGCTCAGGGGGGTGTAAACCAAAAAATGGGGTGTGAAAAGGAAACAAATCCAGGCCCAGCCCAGATCACTTCTTCTTCAACCTCTGTACAACTTTCTTCACACAAAACACGCGTTTTCTATCTCTGGATTCCTGGACTTTCAAGCAAAACTCATAACATGAAAAGTGTAGAGCATTAAGAGACGGTTTCAACCATATAAAGAACATGACCTATCTCTCTAAGATGAGGGAGAATTTCTCTCCCCCTCTTTTCTGACCTAACTTTTCATCAATGTTCAGACATGAAATTCTCTAAGCACACGAAACATAAATGAAATCTAATCATATGAGCATGTTCAGGGCTATGATTGTGACATGTTTTCTTCAAAAACCTAAAGCTAACAATGCCTAACAAGAGAGATAGAACTCCATGAATATACCTGTTCAGTTGGAATCGAGCTGGGCAATGGAGGATGTTTCAGAGTGAAATGAGGACTTGTACAGCTTCCTTGAAGTGTAAGGAAGCTTTTCCAGTTCCTACTTTGCCTTGAAACTTCCTGAATCGAGCTAATGAACTCCAACTGCAAAACAGAAAATTAAAAATGGTGAAGTGGCTTGGAGGTGTTACAGGTCTGATTTTAGGATATGGATAGCTTGTATATATTGTAGGGAAGGTAGAGGAAAAGGTTTGAATCAAAATGCTTGAAGGGATTGGGAGTTTGAACTCAAACTGCAGGGGCACCCCTGTTTGTGCAGTTTGAGGATGATTCTGAGATGGAGGGTGTTTTGGAGGTCAAGAGCTCGTGTCTTAGCTTGGATATGTTATGTGTAATGTGTTTGACAACTTTGTTCTTGTGTTTGTATGCTGGTATGAGAGATGGCATAAGTTATGGATGTTACTTCTATGTGAAGCAAGCAAATGTCAACTTGGTTTCTAGGCCAGTACAATGCCTCAATCTATGCTGCACATTTGAGTCTTGATCAGGGGGATATGCCCATGCCTTTTTGCTTCAAAGATCTGCATTGTACCTCATGGATTTGCAAAGTTGCCATAAAGTATCACTTTACAAGAATGGATAATATGCTTTTTCTAGTTTAGGCTTGATTTTGTGTGTATTGTCCAAATGAGCAAGATAATGCTAGAGCACAAAGGATATGCATTGAATTATTGAGTGAAAATGGGATTAGAGGCCTGCAATGTAGCTTAAGCATGCTGAATTCAAATTTGCCAAGTTTATGAACATGCTTTGATGAAGAACAAAAGTGAATTTTTGCCAACTTGTGAAATTCGAATCTCTCAAGTTATGAGGTTGTTTGATGAGTTCTTGGACATTTTGGAAAGCTTGGAATGTGTACTACAATCCATCTTTGAAATGCAATTTGAAATTCCAAGTGGAAGGGTATGAAAAGTGGCCTTGAAGTAGGGTAGAAAACCTTGTCAAAATAGGTCAAATTTCACTAAGTTAAAAGATGGTTTAGTGCCCTTATTCAAAAAATCATAACTTGAGATACAAGCTTCAAATGAGAAAACTTTGTGAATCAAAGTTGTAGATTATGCAACAAGCTACAACTTTCATGTTTTGACTTTTGTTTGAATCCAAATGGATCATGGTGAAAAGATGGGGCAAAGTTGGGAAAAAATTAGGGTTTTTTCATAACTTAGAAAAATTCTAAGTTATGAAAAATTCCATTTTCAAACCCTAATTTGCATTTTGTGATTTCTTGGTGAACAAGTTTCATGATTTGGCATGTTTTGATGAAAAATGAATCTTGACTCTTGATTTTGACCAAAAAGTCAAAGTTTGACTTTTCAGTATACAGTCAAAATTGATCAATTGACTGGGAAATTCAACTGTCAATCTTGTGTACTTGGGATCTTTTGAGCTTGATGAACATGTCAAGATAATTCCATGGGGTCCTTGAGTCCATATGTGAGCTTGGTTTGCCATTGGCTAGGTCCAACAGTCAAAAATTGCCTTTGTGCAGTCAAAACCCTAAAAATGACCATTTTGCCCTTTTGGTGATCTGACCAAATTTCTTATGGAATTGTGATCCAAACTTGATCAAATGGTTCATATGAGTTCATAATGTTGATGTGGATCAAATTTCATGAGGTTTGACTGTCAATTGGCCACAGTTGACTTTTTCCCCAATACAGCTGATTTCTAGGTCAACTCTCCAATTGACTGGGAAAAGCTTGGAATCAAGACTTGAAACTTGGTATGGGTAAACTTGGGAGTCCAATATGAAGCATGAAAGTCATCTTAGGCATTTTAGGTCAAAACATCTTTTAGGCAAACACAAACCCTAATTTGAGTTCACAGTGCAAGGAGAAGTCTTGAGCAGAGGAAACCTTAATTGTATCTTGATCTTTAAATGTCTTGTGATGAGAAAATGTTGAGGAAATGGGAGGGCAAATTTTGGGGTACAACACTCTGTTCCAAACTTTCAAACATATTATGGATCTATGCCGAGAAATCCATCTCAAACACCCCCGTTTAATGGTTATGTGACAATGGCGAATGCAAATTTTCCAAGTGGTGGTGTACCTGAATTTCCCGAGTTTTCAACACAACTAACTATTGGTGGCATGATAGTTTCTAATGAAGTCGGTCCGAATTCAGAGGATTCAACTCCTAAGAGCAGGAAAACTCAGCAACCAGCATGGAACACTGAACAAAATTTGGTGCTAATTAGTGGGTGGATTAAATTTGGAACAAGCAGTGTTGTCGGGAGAAACCAGAAAGGTGAAACATATTGGGGTAAAATTGCTGAGTATTGTAATGAGCATTGCTCATTCGATCCTCCGCGTGATGGACCTGCATGCCGAAACTGTTTTAATTATATGAACAAAGTGTTGGGTAAATGGATTGGCGCTTATGATGGCGCTAAGCTTATGCAAGGAAGTGGTTGGTCGGAGAATGATGTTTTGGCAAAAGCGCAGGAATTATATACATGTGGGAAGAATGTTAGATTCACTTTAATGGAAGAATGGCACGCTCTCCGTGATCAACCACGTTATGGTAGTCAAGTAGGAGGAAATATTGGCTCAGGAAGTAGTGGATCTAAGAGATCTCGCGAGAGTGATGCATGTGGCTCAAACACTGTAGAATCCAGTGCTCGTCCTATAGGAAGGGAGGCAGCTAAAAAAAAGGGTAAAAAGAAAAGCAAGGAATATGCCTCAGTGGTGGTGGACAAAGAATGGGCTGAATACAAAGAATTCAAGACGAAAGAGCTTGAACGATTGGACAACATAGCCTTGATGCAACAACAGGCTAACAATATAGCCTTGGAAAAGACTAAAACCAAGAAAATGAAGATGTATCTAAAGCTAACTTCCGAAGAGCATCTAGATGACCGGAAGAACCAGCTGTTGAAAAAGTTGGAGACAGAACTGTTTGATAATTAATTTCAATGAAGTATTTGTCAGTGTTGTGTTTGCTTTAATTATTGTTGTTTCAATATGCCAGTGTTGTGTTTGCTTTAATTATTGTTGTTTCAATATGCCAGTGTAGTGTTTGCTTTAATTATTGTTGTTTCAATATGCCAGTGTAGTGTTTGCTTTAATTATTGTTGTGTCAATATGCCAGTGTAGTGTTTGCTTTAATTATTCCTTATCTGATAATTAACTCTATACAATAAATTATTTCGAATCCGTCAGTGGTCCACCACCCAATTCGAATCTATTCCTTATCTGATAATTAACTCTATACAATAAATTATTTCGAATCCGTCAGTGGTCCACCACCCAATTCGAATCTATTCCTTATCTGATAATTAACTATATACAATAAATTATTTTGAATCCGTCAGTGGTCCACCACCCACATCCATTTATATATAGGGACTCATACATCCATTTATGTACCAATATCCCAAATCCCATCCAATCTACCTCCAATATCACAAAAAAATGGATCCATCACAATATCATTTTGATATCGCAGCCTACAATCAAAATCGTGAAATTGAAGAAAATTATATAGTCAATCGATTTAGAGAGCGTAGAAACAAAATATCGGAAGATAATGCACCTCGTAGTAGAAAATATCTCAATAGAGATCATGCAGCGGCAAACCAAAGACTAATTGACGACTACTTTGCCAATGAGCCTACATATGACGATGCAATGTTTCGTCGTCGGTACCGGATGAAAAAAAATGTTTTCCTTCGAATCGTTGGGGACCTTTCAAGTAGTGATAACTACTTCACCCAGCGAGTTGATGCAGCCAATAAAGAAGGTATATCACCCTTAGCAAAATGTACCACAGCAATGCGAATGTTAGCATATGGTGTGGCAGCAGATGCGGTCGATGAGTACATCAAAATAGGAGGTACTACAACATTGGAGTGCTTACGTAGATTCTGTAAAGGAATCATACGCTTGTACGAGCAAGTGTATCTGAGAGCACCAACCCAAGATGACCTGCAAAGAATACTGCATGTTAGTGAAATGCGGGGGTTCCCAGGGATGATTGGGAGTATTGACTGCATGCACTGGGAGTGGAAAAATTGTCCTAAAGCATGGGAAGGACAATTTACTATAGGGGATAAGGGAACCACCACAGTTATTCTTGAAGCAGTTGCATCTCATGACCTATGGATCTGGCATGCCTTTTTTGGATGTCCGGGAACGTTGAACGATATAAACGTTCTAGACCGGTCACCAGTGTTTGATGACGTGGAACAGGGAAAGGCTCCAAGTGTGAATTTCTTTGTGAATCAACGTCCATATAATATGGCATACTATCTAGCTGATGGTATCTACCCTTCTTATCCAACTTTCGTCAAATCGATTAGACTTCCTCAAAGTGAACCCGATAAATTATTTGCAAAATTTCAGGAGGGATGTCGGAAGGACATCGAACGTGCATTTGGAGTGCTCCAAGCTCGATTTAAAATCATCCGTGAACCAGCTCGCTTGTGAGACATAGCTGATTTGGGTATCATCATGAGGTCATGCATCATATTACATAATATGATTGTTGAGGATGAACGAGATTCATATTCTCAACGTTGGACCGATTTTGAGCAATCTGGGGAAAGTGGATCTAGTGCACCACAACCATACTCGACCGAGGTGTTACCCGCTTTTGCAAATCATGTGCGTGCTAGATCAGAGTTCCGTGATCCAAATGTTCATCAAGAATTGCAAGCCGATCTAGTGAAGCACATATGGACAAAGTTTGGAATGTTCCGTGATTGAATTATTTGTGTGTTGTATTGTATTTTAAATTATTTGTATCGTACTAATTACGTTACTTGTGTGTTGTATTGCATTTTAAATTATTTGTAACGTACTAATTACGTTAATTGTGTGTTGTATTTTAAATTAATTTAAGATGATTTGTATCGTATCCAATTATTTAAATAAATTTTGTTTTTATTACAAAAAATTAAAAAATAAATTATTAAGTATTTATTATTTTAATTTAATTTTAATCGATAATTGTAATTTTATGTAATCATAAAAATAAAAATAAAATTTAAATAAGAATATGAAAATAAAAAGTGGTGGGGTAGGGTGTTGAGTGAAAAACCATTGGAGAGGGTAAAAGTTGAATGGGTGTTGAGTTATTAGGTGGAAGAAAGAGAAAATGATGTGGAGTGTTGGGAGTTGAAAAAGTGGGTGTTGAGTTTTTCAACCATTGTAAATGGTCTTATGATTACCCTCTGCCCTGACTCCTGACCAGTAAATAGAGATTAAACAAACGACAATAGTGATATTAATTAAAGGATCTAATTGTTCATTTTTCATGCTTTCTTCTAGTTTCTATGGAGTAGTAATCTCAATTAGCAAACTACAAGTTTCTTATATGTTTAGTTTTTATAGCATGCACGGTGGGGTTTAGTTTGTTGAAGATGAAACAAAAATTTTAGAAGTTGGACTTCCTCTTTTATTTAGGACTAATAATTTAAGGCTCAATTTCAATTTGATCATTTTGTTTTTTTATTTGTAGAAGGGGAAAAAATAAAAAAGAGAAATTTTTTGTTTCTATTTTCTTTTTCTGTCAGTTTAGTTTTGGATGAAGCTCAATTTGGCTTGTCTTGTATTGTTTCTTAAGGTGATATGTTACTTTATGGTTTAAGTTCTAATTTTGCTATTGTTTTTATTAAATAGATGAGAGAGAATGTATAGCATATAAGTCTTACAGATTCAGCTAGCACTCATGATGAAGCTATATTGCCACCACATCCTAAAGAAAAAAGCGTCAATTGCGGTCTGATATGTGGAACCATTTCACTGCGGTGGAAGGTGATGAGAAAAAGACTAAATATCAATACTGTGGAGTCTTAATTAAGTATAGTAACATAACAAGTGGTATGCAGACTCATCTAAGTAGATGCACTGCTTATGATCATGATAAAATCCAAGCCACCCAACCAAGCAAAAGGAGAAAAACCAATTCAGAAGGGAAAGTAGTTTGCTCGCCAAGCTATTCTAAATTTGATCAAGAGGAATGTCGAGCACTACTTGTGAAAACATTTGTGTGTTGTGAGCTTCCATTCCGTTTTGTGAAGAATGAAGTCTTTAGAAAGTTATTAATCACTTTGTAGCCTCGATTTTATATCCTATCACGGTCTATATTAAGGCGTGATATTTGGGCGCTCTACCTTGAAGAAAAGGAGAAATTGAAAAAATTCTTGTCAAATTGTGGAAGAGTTTGTTTGACTACTGACACTTGGACTTCAACTCAAAACTTAAGTTACATGAGTTTGATCGTGCACTTTGTGGACAATGACTGGAAGATGCATAAGAAAATCATTAACTTTTGTCAAATCACGGGGCACTCGGGTCACATGATTGGAAAATATGTTGATGATTACTTAAAAAGTTGAAAGTTGAGTCAAATCTTGACCATAACGGTTGACAATGCTTCGGAAAACACCACTATGATTAAGTATCTCAGCATAAGGATAGGGTCTTGGAGTAATATTGTTTTGAATGGGGAATATGTTCACATGCGTTATTGTGCACGTATATTGAACTTAATTGTAAAATCTGGATTGAAGGAGGATAAAAGTTTGTTGTACCCAAAAATTTGCCCTCCCATTTCCCCAACATTTTCTCATCACAAGACCCTTGAAGATCAAGATCCAGTTAGGGTTTCCTCTGCTCAAGACTTCTCCTTGCACTGTGGACTCAAATTAGGGTTTGTGTTTGAACAAAGATGTTTTGACCTAAAATGCCTAAAATGACTTTCATGCTTCATATTGGACTCCCAAGTTTATCCATACCAAGTTTCAAGTTTTGATTCCAAGTTTTGCCCAGTCAATTGGACAAATGACCTAGAAATCAGCTGTATTGGGGAAAAAGTCAACTGTGGTCAATTGACAGTCAAACCTCATGATTTTTGACCCACATCAACATTATGAACTCATATGGACCATTTTATCAAGTTTGGATCACAATTCCACAAGAAATTTGATCACCATCAAAAGGGCAAAATGGTCATTTTTTAGGGTTTTGACCGCACAAGGGTAATTCTTGACTGTTTGACCTAGCCAATGGAAAACCAAGCTCACATATGGACTCAAGGACCCCATGGAATTATCTTGACATGCTCAACAAACTCAAAAGATCCCAAGTACACAAGATTGATAGTTGAATTTCCCAGTCAATTGACCAATTTTGACTGTATACTGAAAAGTCAAACTTTGACTTTTTGGTCAAAATCAAGAGTCAAGATTCATTTTTCATCAAAACATACCAAATCATGAAACTTGTTCACCAAGAAACCAAGAAATGCAAATTAGGGTTTGAAATGGAATTTTTCATAACTTAGAATTTTTCTAAGTTATGGAAAACCCTAATTTTTTCCCAACTTTGCCCCACTTTTTCACCAAGATTCATTTGGATTCAAACAAAAGTCAAAACATGAAAGTTGTATCTTGTTGCATAATCTACAACTTTTATTCACAAAGTTTTCCCAAATGAGGCTTTTATCTCAACTTATAAATTTTTGAATAAGGGCACTAAACCATTCATAACTTAGTGAAAATTTGACCTTTTTGACAAGGTTTTCTACCTAACTTCAAGACCATTTTCCATACACTTCCACTTGGAATTTAAATTTTCATTTCAAAGATGGATTGTAGTACACATTCCAAGCTTTCCAAAATGTCCAAGAACTCATCAAACAACCTCATGGTTAGGGAGAATCGAATTTCACAATATGGCAAAAATTCACTTTTGTTCTTGACCAAAGCATGTTCATAACTTATGCCATTTGCAAGTCAACTTGGTTTGTGCTACATTACAGGTCTTTAAACCATCCAACACTCAATAATTTAATGCATGTTCATTGTGTTAAAGTGTTGTTCTATGAGTTCAAGCATTACATACAAGTTTAATCCATTTTTAGATAAAGCAAAATAGCCATTTTTGAAAAGTTATGCTTTATGTCAATTGGTAAATCAAGAAGGTACAGATCAAATCTCTTTAGCACAAGATTATGAACAAATCACTCTGATCAAGAGAAGCTTTGCAGCAGGATTAGGGGTCCTCTACTTACCTAGAAACACAAGTTGGCTTTTGTTGCTTAAGAAAGAAGAAAAGTGTCATAGCATCACACAACTCTCATTTCCTGTAAACCAAGCTTAGACAAACTTATCAAACACATTCCAAAGATCAGAACCAAGCTTTTGCACGACCTTAAAACCTCTCAAACACTCCCAATCTCAGAATCATCCCAAAACTGCCAAAACAGAGTGGCCTCTGCAGTTTGAGTGCCAACTTCTATTTCTCTCAAGCATTCTTGCCCAAACCAGTTCACATACCTTCCTTACCACCTATGCAAGCTATCCAAAAGCTAAAGCACGATCTGTAACACCTCCAAGCTACTTCACCATTTTTATTTTTCTGTTTTGCAGTTGAAGTTCTCTAGCACGATTCAGGGAGTTTCAAGACAAAGTAGAACTTGGAATAGCATCCTCACACTTCAAGGAAGCTATACAAATCATCATCTTGCTCTGAAAACTCCTCCATTGCAAAGCACGATTCCAACTGAACAGGTATCTTCATGAAGTTCTATCTCTCAGTATAGGCATTGTTAGCTTTAGGTTTGTGAAGGAAACATGTCACAATCATAGCCCTGAACATGCCCATATGATTAGATTTCATTTATATTATGTATGCTTAGAGAATTTTGGTTCTGAATATTGATGAAAAGTTAGGTCAGAAATTGGGGGAGAAGAAATTCTCCCTCATCTTAGAGAGTTAAGTCAAGTTCTTTACATGGTTGAATTCGTCTTCTCATGCTCTATACTTTTCATGTTATGAGTTTTGCTTGAAAGTCTAGGAATCAAGAGATAAAAAACGCGTGCTTGCTTGAATGATGTTGTTCAGAGGTTGAAGATGACTGGTTCTGGGCTGGGCCTGGAATATTTTCTTATTTGCACCACATAATTGCTTCTGAACCCCCTGAGCCCATTTTGCTTATTTCTTTGACTTTTTGACTTTTTCTTTTTTTGTTTGACTTATTTATTTTTTCTCATGACATTAAAAATATAAAAATATTTTTTCTCACCATTTTTGATTTTATTAGGCATTTATTTAATTTTCTTTTAGATTATACATAAATAGATAAATACATATATTTTGTTTAAAATACTAAAAAAATAGTGCAAATGCATTTCTATACATTTTTATTTTTGTTTTACTTTCTGAAAATACTTTATAGAAAAATATTTTTTTTATTAAATATTAAATATTTTTTTTTTATATGTAATACTTAATACATATATATATATATATATATATATATATATATATATATATATATATATATATATATATATATATATATATATATATATATATATATATATATATATATATATATATATATATATATATATATATATATATATATATATATATATATATATATATATATATATATATATATATATATTTATTAGTATATTTAGGTTAGAATACAAAAATACCTAAATTTTTCATTTTTACTAATATTTGATAAAAAAATACTTTTTATAAATATACTTCATTTTATTTTTATTATTTTTATACATAATAAATAAATACTTGTATTAAATTAAATAATAATACATTTTATTTAATAGAATTAGGGTTTTGCCCTAAAGACAAAAAACTCCAAAAAATAATACCTTTTTATTTTCCTTTTATTTTACATAAATAATCTTTTTTTCATACATATAAAAATTCTTTTTGCATTCTTGCAT